TCTTCCGAATCCGAGGAGCTCGAAGCGACGCATTCCTCCTTGCTCGGCAGACTCGACGACCGAACGATGTCTGTCGCGTCTCTGCGTGGGAAAACGATGCGAGATCTGTTCTGCAAACGAATCTCGGACCGGATCGTCGTCGCCAAAGGAACTTCCGAATCCGGCGACACTCGCCGAACGCCGTTGCAGTTCAACGGCGCGGCTTGGGACGACTGACCGCTTCTCGGCTGCGAATCCTGTTCCGATTTCGGAGCCGAATCCGCTTTGGTACCCGCGTTCGCATCCGTGCCCGTTCTCGCATTCGCATTCGCTTCCGCGTTCGCTTCCGCGTTCGCTTCCGCGTTCGGATCCAGCTCGCGATCGACGGATCGAAAGACGGTTTTACCGGGCGAATGCAGCTGCGACGCCTGTCTCGGCGCCATCGAAGAATCCCCGGCAAAGGATTTCACCGGCGTTTCGGGCCTGAAAAAGACGGACAAATTGCTCGCCGGATCGTTCCGCTCGACGAATCGGCGAATCGGAGAGCAGGGTTGCGCGAACTGCCTCTTCGGGCTGGTGTGCTCCAGGTCCCGAATGCTGCCGCTCTGCAGTTCCGGCTGCGAGTTTCTGCTCTTGGAGAGGGCCAGCTCGATGTTCAGCTCGGTGTTCTTGATCAGTTCGACGCGTTTGTTGGCTAGGCCGTTGTGAAACTTTCGCGACGGCGATGGAACGACGGGCAACGCGTTGCTTTGGCTCTTCTGCATGTTCACCAAGATGTTCTCCGCCTCGAGAATGAGCTCGCGATACTTTTTATCCGCCTCCTTGTCCGCCTCGATGAGAGCGATCTCGGAGGCGAACGCGGTCATGTAGGTGCTCCCCGGCGATCCGATCTTCTGACCGACCATCGAGTGGCCGTTCACGTAGCTCACCTTTCGAATCGACCGGCAAACGATGAAAATTAGCAAAGAGTCAGAGGTGGAGATAGAGAAAGCGCACGCTTACCGAATTCGAACGCCTCTTGAGGATCTCGAGGTCGGTACCGAGGCCGATAGCCGTGCCACCGGCGGCACCAGCAATCGCGGCTGTGCCCGCGCCATTGGGACGACCCGTAAATATTTCCGTACCATTTACCCTGATCGGTGACAGATTTTTGTTGACGTCGTGCTTCTTGCGACGCAAGCATATCGGCGTGCCGCCGACGCTTCTGCTGCCCTGCTGATTGAAACCCGAATTCTTCAAGAGTATTCTCTCTAGCAGGGCGCGATTCAAATTCGCCGTTTCGTCGTCGCATCTGTCCGCAGCGGTGGACTTCCTCCGTTGAGAAATCCGTCTTTTGCGTTTCTCGGTCTGCTGCTTCTCCTCGGACTTTTTGGGTTGACGGCCGCTCTGTCGCTTCACGGGGATGTTCTTCGCGCTGGCGATTCTGCGAACAGACGGGAAAAGTATATCGTCGAACGAAAGCCGAAACTCGAGGAAAACGAGTCGAGGGGTCTTCTGTTGATATTACCTCTGAAGAACGGTGTTCGCGTCCTCCTTGTTCCTTCTTTTCGTCAACGATTCCCGCAGTTTGGTGGTTCGTCGAGCCAGCTCGTCGGTGAACGCGAAGTAGGTGCAGTGACCGGTGTTGGGAAATCGTCCGGAGCAATCGAGATTGTCGAGGTCGAGAAAGGAGCCGTTGTCGATGTAATCGAACTCGTTGTTCTCCAAGGAATCGTTGTCCTCGCCGACGACACGGGTGGTCTCGATGTCGGACAACGAGTCTATGCAGTCCTCGCAATCCGTGGGGTCGCTGTCGGACAAGATATCCGTCTCCTTCTCGTAGATGTAACTTTCGTCGAACTTCCCCATCATTTCGTTCAGCGTGATATCGTCCTCCGAGGAGCGGACGCTCCGCGTCACCGAGGACGCGGAGGAGCCGTTGTAGGTTCGATTTTCGTGGCCGTGTCTCCGGCCGGGCCGGGTTCCGATTTCGTTTTCGCGTTCGTTCTCGTTGCCGTTGCAGTCGGCGCTACCCCGGCTGCCGCTGCCGCTTCCGCTTCCGCTTCCGCTTCCGATACTGCCGCTGTTGGTGTTGCCGTTGCTGCTACTGGTACTGCTCCGGCTGCTGCTGCTGCTGTTGCTGCGCGGTTGCATCGACAGAGCCATTTTCGATCGAATCTCCATGCCCGACGCGATTCTCCAATTCTGGTTGATGCTACGCGAGGAAACCTGGTTAACCTCGGTCTGCCGTGAAACCAGAGGGAAGCGCGATCGAGCCGCCGGCGAGCTCGCTCGCGCTTCCCTCGGCTAGAGTTTCGAGCATTGCGTTTCGCAAAGCTTCCCGGCGAAATCAAAGAGAAGGATATGGCATGCGGGCAAAGGCCGATCGAGGTTCAAAGAACACGGTAAAGCGGTACTAACGGGCTTCTCCCGGCGCTGAGACTCTCCTGCTTCAACTCCTTTTTAGCTCGCCCCCCTCGCGAGCTGTTCACGTTCACGTCGCTCGCGCTCCCGGAAGATTCCGCGAGTTTCAGAGCCGAACCGGCGCCGCTCGGGTCGTCGAGAATCAGTCTGGACTTGAGGGCGCCGCAGACGGTGCCGCAGACACCGGCGCAGACGCCGCCGGCGTTGCTGGATCCCGACGAGTTGGCCGAGAGCCATGGGTTGGTGCGTATACGAGAGCGTTCCCGAGGCGACTGGACCGAGGGCGAGACCACGAGCGGTGGCGGTATCGAGGACGGCACAGCCAAGCTTCCCTTGGCCGAGTCGCCGGAGAAGGACTCGGTTCGCCGATGGTAGGTGTCCTGGTGCGCGTGTGCTCGCTGCGACTGTTCCTCCCTCGACTCTTCGCTGCCCAGACGGTCGCCGATCTGCTCGTGTTTCCGAAGAGAGAGTTTCCGAAAATTATAGGGAAACGCGACTAAACGGATTCTCGGCTCGGATCCGAACGTCCGCGTATACGTGCCTTGATCGTAGCGTTGATCCCTCGAGCATTCGTCGAACGATTCTCGTTCCTGGTCATGCCCGCGAGGCAAGCCGCCGCTTCGAGGATCCCATGCCCGGCGAGGAGAGCTGTACCGGTGCCCGAACCCGAACTTGAACCTAAACCTGGAGCGGGACCGGGACCGGAACCGGAACCGGAGGCGGAACCGGAACAGGAGCCCGAATAGGAACCGGCCGACAGCTCCCCCGTGTCCGTCGATCTCTTCGGTCGGCCGTTATTGCCGCTGCTCTGAAAGTAGTGCGTACCAGTCCTGATGTTGATGTAATATTCCGGCGGGAAACTGGTTCCGGGCGAAGTGCCGTCCGTCGAGTATCCGGTACTGTAGGCACTTTCCGGGGAGGACAGATTCACGCTGCCGGTGCCGGCGGAAGTGCCGGAAGAGGCTGAAGCGGTCGCGTAGCTTCCGCCTCCGTGCAATCGAATGCCGTCCACCGTTTTTCCCGGCGATTCCGCCGGGTGTACCTGAAATTCCCAATCCCCAATGAATTTCCAACCGCGAGAATAACGAAAACAACCACGATGGAAGACGGAAGAACCTTCCAAAAAAAGAAAGAAAAAAGGAAGGCGCGTTGTAACGAGTATCATTCGATGTTGCAACTCGAAAGAGGAAAATAACGTTGAAATCGACTCGTCCGAGGTAGTAGAAGAGGAGTCGGGAACGTGGAGGAGACTTGGAGGAGAGACTTGGAGCGTCGTCGAAGGCGAGAGAGTCGGTGTCGTCTAATTGGATAGCCTCGAGTCCGTAGAGGAAAACGAGCACGTTGCTCGAACCACGAAAACGAGGAGAAAGACTCGACTGCTCGCCTTCCCGTTCTCCCTGCTCGGTTTAAAAGTCAAAGACGAGACGAAGCGCGAGCGAATCACCTGATGTAAGCAGGGTGATCTGTTGGCGCTTCGATTTCTCGGAGAGTTGCAGTTCGAGTCGAACCCTTTCTCCCCTTTCTTCCGGTCCTTTTTCTTTTTCGATCGCACGATATGCGCCTCCATCCAGGTGCGCAGTTTCGTCCCGAACATGTTGCACGCGATGGGACCGATGAAACGGCGACACGTCGAAGATTCCGAGCGAATTCGCGGCCGTCCGCGTTAACTGGTCGTTCGCCACGGTTGCATCTACGTCGTCCGGGTCGTCTAGGTCGTCGCCATCGCCGCCTTTCCACCGGTTAACGTCGAAGATCGTTGCGTCGCCGCCTCGCTTGCCGGCGTTCCTCGGCGACGCGACCCGTTGGACCTGAAACAGGCGAAAACGAAACTGGTTAGAGTCGGCGTTTGCGGCCCTCCGTGGATCGTCGCGATCGGCCCCGACGGTTGCCACCTCTACTCTATTTCCGGAGACCGAAACACTCGAGGGAGTTTCGACGGCGGAATCAACGCTGCTGCCCTCGTTCTCATCCCCCAGGGGCGCCGTTATAATTTCCGGCTTCTCCGAAATCTTGCCGCTGCTCGTTCGTCGGCATCTCGAGAAGCACGTTCGCGAGAGGTGCACGGGTTCGAGACCGAGTTTACGGTCGCGGCGCGACAACGAGGGGGTGAAACGGAACGGGAGAGGAAACGTTCATCGCGCTTTCGGAGCATTTATATTTGATGGAAGGTGCAAGGGCCGCGACGTTTTCGCGCTCTCGACATCCCGACCCTCGGGTTCGGCGCTACATCTCTGTCGACTCTCCCCCTCGACCCAGATCTCGTCGGTAGACTCTCGCGGCAAATCGCCGGCGGCAGCTACCGACAGCCACCGACAGCCAGCGGACGAGATAAACGGAAACGCGAGTGCGCGCCGGGGTGGCGACTCGGGCTTCCTGGAAAAAGTCGAGGAGAAGAGCGATTCGTTCGGTTCCGGGCAGCGAAGAAACGTTACGAGGCCCATGGGAAGGGAACGCCGAGGGGAAAGAGAACGCGGAATGCTAGCCACCACGTGGTTGGGGTGGCGAAAGGGTTCGATCGAGCACCGCTGAAGGTAGCCGCGGCAAACCAGCGATGCCGTCGTCATGGCAACTATCCGAGCTCTCTGCCCCAGGCGAGCTGGGATCCACGGGGAGAATCGATCGCGATCGCGACTGCGTCCGATGCCAATTAGAAATTACGAATGAGAAACTAGAAAGCAGTTTCCCTCCACCGTGGTCCGTCTCGCTTCGCACCTTCGGTGGATCGTGCGAAGCGGCAACAATCGCTTCCCTCCGCTGCTGGACGTCGAACGCGTCGTCGTCCAACTGGAATCTCGCGGCGGTCTATTTTCATCGTCGCGTCCCATCGCGTCCCGACGTATCTCGTTTTCTCAACGAAGCGAGACGAGACGAGACGAGAAGACAAAGTTGGGTAAACTCTGTGAAACTCGAAAGAAGCGGGACAAACGCGGAGCGAGAAGATCGCCTGGCTCGACGCCAACGGTTTCGTCGACGACGAGTAGCCGGGGGAATTCTGGCGACCTCGGAGGCAACCCGATTGGAACGCGTTTCGCGGGACCACGCTCGGTCACGCTCGGGAACAGGAGAACCGGCCGTGAATTTCAATGAAACGCCGATCGGGATACGCCGAGAGAAACGGCGAAAGGCCTCGCCCCTCCGCCGACCGGCGACCGACGACGCACCCTCCGCGTCTCGCAGCTAATTCGCACGCACAACCCTCGCGGCCCGTATACAGCCCGATCGAATCGGTGCACCCGTTCTCCGGTCCAGCCGGAGGTGCTTTCGAGAAATCGGAAAAAAGTTCCGAGAGCCGGCTCGAGTTACGACGGGACAATCGGCCGCGCGACGATTCGCATTCTTTCGCTGGCGGCGCTTCGACGAATCGAGATCCCTCTCCTCTTTCTACCGTTCGCTGGTCCGCGCGTCGCGTCGCCGACAAAGAAATCCTCGGGGCTCGTCTCCGGAACGAGTCGAGGGTAAAACGCGTTTGCGATCGCAAAGAAACGCGCGTAGTCTCTCTCGCCTCGAATCTCGCCGTCCGAACGCGTACTTTCGCGTTTCATTTTCCAACCGGTTGATCGACCCGGTAAGTGGAAATTCGAAAGCTTCTAGGTTATGCAACGTTACGGAACGTTCGTGTCTGGTCCGTCACTGGCGTCGCGCGTCACGGCGCCTCGCGATTCCCACACATCCCACGCGTTCCGCTACCTAACCAAGGCCAACGCGTTCCTCGAAAAGGACGGTTCTTCGTGCACGAGACGAAGAGCCGTCGCGAATCCCGCGGACTCTCGGCTCGCCGAGTCGAGCAGAATCCGAGAGGATCGGGCGTAGTCGAATCACCGATAAAACTCGGCTGTCCGGGAAAGGTCGAGCCATCTGTCAGTTCGACGCGGACGGAACGATCGTTCGGAGATGCGTCCGGTGGACGCGGAGCCCCGGCAGCGAACCGCCTGCGGTTTCTTACCTTTTCGTCCATCGAACGTCATCCCCCATCGGTTTCGAGGTGTCCCCTTGTCGAAGAAATCCTACGATGGCGCTTCGACTGTCGCAACGTGAACCGAGCGGACGGGAACAACGAGAACAACTACCCCTGGAATGTCGACGTGCCGGCGCGCGAGGCGCGCGAGACGCGCGAGACGCGCGAGACGCGGACGAGTCGACGAGCCAACTGACCGGTCCAACGGTCAACCAGCGAACCACCGTTGCGACTAACCGACTAACCTCGCCTCCGAGCTTAACCGACCGGCTGTTCGGTCGAGACTGAGCGCCGTGGGATACGCACCCTTATTGGGCGGACACGTTGCAGGGCCGTATTGGAAAGGGGTGTTTCCCCTACCAACCAGCCTCGTCTCCTTTCCACTCTCGGCGCTCCTCTTCGGTGTTCGCGTCCCTTCTCTTTCCTCTTTTCCCTTTTCTCGTCTTTTCCTTTCTTCTCTCCTCTCCTCTTCTCTTCTCCTCTCTCCGCTGCTCTGTGCCGCTCTATTCCATGGTATTCTGCTCCGATACGTCGCATCGCCCGCCGCGTTTCCAGCCGATGCGATGAAATATCGGGAACAGCGGATAGCCGGCAGACCACCCTGCTTCGAACCGACCATTTTTTCGATCTATCGGAGAACAACGAGAAGCGGTAAAAGCAGCCGCGATGCGCGATAAACGCTGTTCCATAGATTCTCGGAAGCGCGAACCAACGACCGATGCTAATCGTCGAGAGGGTTCCCATCGATCCGCGAAAGCGCCGCTTTCCATCGATGGCTCGACCAACGGGAACATCCGTTTCCGCGTTTCCTGGTTCCTGCCCGACAGAAAAACGACCGAACGGCAAACGTTGACCGAATCGCGACGCGCCGAGTCCAGCCGATGCTCGCGAATCGGTTCGAAGGGGATCAAGCGCGATGCTTGGAAAAGCTCTCGAACCCTTGGGCCTTCGCGGTTTCCGGGTGCACCGTGAGGACGAAACGAAAAATCATGGATCGATGCGACGAATGCCTCCTGGGTCTGCATGCTCCGCATGGGAAATGACTGTCGCTCGCTCGGGTTATTCGAACGTCTGGCTTTCGGCGTCGAGTCAATTTCGATTTCTTCCTCTGTTCCGATCGCGGCTCGCGGGAGGCTCCTTTAATCTCTCGACCCCGATGCCGCTCGGGAAGAATGGAAATTGGAGAGAAAAAAAGGACGCGACTCCGCGGAGACGATAATCACGTACGTATCTTGCTCGGCACCAGGTATTATCCGTAGCTGAGTTGGCAACCTTTTCGACTCTGGATAGCTGCCAGGGTAAATATCAATTTTACGACGGCCACGGATCCTTTCTATTTGGTTTGGCAATTTCGCCGTCGGCTTACGTTGCAGCCAACCCAGTGCCGCGGGCCTAATCCATCGCGGAAGGGCTGCCGCTGATCTACCGGCCACTCGTTGCCCTTCGATTCCCGTTGCGAATGCTCTTACTTGTAATGCTCGGATATACATATTTACTCGCGCAAATACCCCGTCACCTCGGCTGTCGGCTTCCGATTCTCCTCCGAGCTTCGAATCGAGAGCACACCCGAGAGGAATATCGGCGAGGATATCCCAAACCGTACTTTCCTTCGAATCCGCGCGATTCTCTCGTCGACGGATTAACCGTGCTCGGCCGGCGCGTCGTCGCGCGACTTTCGAGGACGCGGGCCGCGATAATTGCCGGTCGGTGCATTATCTTCGCACAGTTTCAAAGAGCTTGTCGTTGCGTTTAACGGTTAATTCTCTTACTCTTACTCTCTCTCTCTCTCTCTCTCTCTCTGTCCTTCTTTCCCCCCGCATTTCCAAGACCGGTTTCTGCGTATTTGCGAAAGGTGATCGGCGAGGGCGCCGCGCCGCGCCGCACCGTACCGTCGCATGCCGCGCTACAATACCGCGACTAACAAGGGAACCTATCGAACCTGGACGGTTCAAAAATTATGAAATCTCGCGTACGAGCGGACCGGATCGAGCCTAACGGATCGCAATCTTTTTCTCTGGCGAATTTCACTCTTGAAACCACACCCCTAGGGAAAAATGTTGCAACCTTGTTTCCCTGTCCCTCGCCGTACTCGAGGTAATCCACGGGAACGAAGAAAAGTTTGCGTTCTTTGCGCGGCTATCGACGGAAACCTACCGATGCTCGCTCGTTCGTACGCTCCTCCTCCGAACGCACGGTTCGTTTCACGGCTCGTTAACGCGTCGTAATGTCTATTCGCGCAGGCGAGTTTTGTCCCGACACGGTTCAACGGAGTTCCGCGACTGACAGGGGAACCCTTTTTCTTTTCGCGACACTTTGGATCTACCCACTGAGAAGCGCGCGGAACGATCTCGAACTTGTCGCATCCCCCGGAGCGTCTGCGTCGGGAATTGGTCGTCCATCCTGCTTCCTAGATTCGAGATCGACAGCGTCGGCCAGTGGCGGTGGGAACGGTCGTTTCCCGGCGATTGCGAGGTTGCCGGAGGTTCGGTTCGAATTCCATCCGCGGCGGAAGAAAAGGGTAACGCTTCCTTTGGAGTTTACCGCGCCCTTGTCCATTTATCCGGTTGAAATCGTTCGCAAACAGCGTTTACCGCTCCCTCGGTACGCTCCTCGGTTCGTTTTTCTTTCCGCTGATCGCGCGTACCTTCCGCGTTCCCTCCTTCGCTGCAACCCTTGTTCCATTCTTTCTTTCATGCGACGGATAGCGAGTGCACGCGCCCCTCGAGGGAACACTTTCGACCCCCGCGGGTTCCCTCGAATTCGCTTAAACGAGCATCGTCGCGCAATTCACCGTCAAACGCGAAACGATCCGGTTCCGACTTGGCGCAACCGTTGAATTCGAGGGTGCGTTGAGATAACGTCGCTCCGCGTCGACCGATTAGAACCAACAAAACCAACCTTTGTTTCGTTCGTTTTCGCCATCGGCGAGCACCGAGCAAAATGTTTTCGCGAGACCCGAGTTACCGATAATACCTTATCGGTGCTATTGACTCGATACAGCTGCAACCTTGAAAACTGCTCGCGATCGCTCGCTTCCAATTACAACGAGCATCTTCGACTCGTTCTCGTTCTCGTTCGAACCGATATGTTTTTCGCAGATTATTTACGACACGAATTCCTCGCTGATCTCGATGACCTTGAAACATGTCGCCAACCTCTGCTTCTTCGTATTCGCGAAAATATTATACTTTTAGCTACTCCTCGAGTAGAGGCAGCGGTGGAAGATTGCCTTCGAATTACTACCGCGAGGGGAGTAGCCTGGATCCCGCCATGCTGTAAATAATTACCGTTCTTTCTCTTGTACATAACTCGCGGTCGTTAGCTACCCCCCTTCTATCGGTTTTTCCACGTTACGCTTCCGCGTGATCGCCGTCGTATAGAAATCTTACGATAGGCGAAGGATGGAACGTGTCGCCTCCGTGGCGCAATCGGCTAGCGCGTTCGGCTGTTAACCGAAAGGTTGGTGGTTCGAGCCCACCCGGGGGCGGATATTTTTTGTCCAATTTCGCCAGTGGGAACCTACAACACCGTAGAAAGAGACCCCCCAGCGATACGTTCGTATTTTATCGAACTCGACAACCGTTTCTCTTACTTTTGTATTTCTTTTCATTCGCAGTTACCACAGCTTTCATCGTTTCGGGGGTTGTTGAGAGGAGGGTAGAATGATATTTTATAGTATAATTATTTTCTTAGACGATAAGCGCGTTCGTTTGTTTCTTATACACCGGGAGGGGGAATTCTCGAAAGCTTTTATTTTATTTTCCAACCATCGTGTGAAAAAAAAATAAAAAATAATCACCGCCCAACGTGGGGCTCGAACCCACGACCCTGAGATTAAGAGTCTCATGCTCTACCGACTGAGCTAGCCGGGCTTGTGACTTCTCTGGTTCCCGTTGTCGTGGTGTGTCTGTGTTTCGAATCGTCGACGAGAAGACGTCTCGAATCGTACTCGCGTGGACTGCTAAAAATAACGCGGAAAGTCAACCGAAACGCGTTTCGTTCGATAAAATGATTTTTTCAAACGGACTGGCGCGCTAATCGGGCCGTACGCGGTACCGTATCGTTTCGAACCGAGCGGTACCAAACGGCACCGAACCGGAAGACGATCGTTTAGTGCGCCTCGACGGCTCATAGAGGGCGGAAACGGTTTCGCGCGCTTAAAGTGTAATTGCTTGGTTCCCGAAAGATTTAGTTGCCGTTTTTGCGAAACGCGGATTCGCGATTGTTCGTTCCGAACCGGTCGCGTGTGACGTTCGACGAGTTTCCGCGCGATTCGCGCGACGTAAAGGAATCGCAGATTTTTCCGCGCGATCGTCGCGACGTCCCGGAACTGGAAACGTATCGCCTAACCTGTACAGCCCGGCGCCACATCCGTCCCGCGTTCGCGCCGAAAATCCGGAGGAAGCCCGTTCGACGCGTCGAGTCGACGCAACTCTGCAGGCTGCTTTATTTTTCGAAGAAATTGTGCGCTTTACGAAGCTTTTTCCCCGAGAGCCGGCTGCAAGCGACAGGCTCGTAAAGTGGCCCGAAACTGTCATGAATTTTTAAGGAGAAACGACGATGCTCTGTTCCTCGGCGAACGCTGGTACGAGCGCGAACTCGATGCACACGAACACGGAAGAGAAACACTTTTCGCGAGGCGTGTAAGTATATAGAACGGAACAGGGGCCGACTAATACCGCGCCTTCGCCTTCGCCTGTGCCGCGCTTTTCCGTAACCAACGAGCGAGATCGTGTCGGTCGAGTCGTAAATCTTTCGCGCTCTCGAACGCGAGTATTCCCTGCATTCGGGCACCGTTCACTCGGAAAGTTTCACGTGCAGTCGCCGCGTACGATCGCCTCGACGAGTACGGGCACGCGTCTTTAAAGGAAACCGAACGTACGAGCTTTCGGCGATCCTGAATTTCGTGGCCATCCGGGCGAAAGTAATTTTCATTCGCGCAAACCGGTCTCGGACGTGCCGAGATGTTTGGAACCACGTCGGCTCGAAACGATCGAGGAAGCACCGAACAACGAGCGAGAAGAGTTGCTGGCTGCGAAACCCTCTCCGGACTCCTCCGAAAAAATGCGCATCCTCTAGCTTGCTTCTTCTCCTCGACACGCGAGCGATTCGTCCTGACGGTTCCTCGATGTAAGTTGCCATTTTATTTCTCCGTCGACGATTCTCCGTGTTTCCATAAGTTTCGAAGCTGTGCATCGGAAACGCGTTGCTCGTATCGGCATTTTAATTCTTTCTCGAGCTTTCCTCGAGACCAAGTCGTTCTCTGGTTTAGTTGAAATGTAAAATCTCGCGGACGTAAAAAAAAAAAATAAATATCGACGAGGATGGGATTCGAACCCACGCGTGTAGAACACATTGGATTAGCAGTCCAACGCCTTAACCACTCGGCCACCTCGTCTTCGGCTGGAACTGGATCGAAATATATCGAACATATCGTTGAGTGGAAAAAGCTTCGAAACGGATCGAAGTCGAACGAAACGCGGTAGAATAAATCGAAAGAGAAAGTAGTCCGAGGGTTTGAGAAGGGAGAGACAAATAACGATACCAAGGTTTTATTTCGATATCGATGTTTATTCGCGCATCGGTCGTACATAGATATTTGTAACGGATCGGCGCGTTCGGTGTCGTCGACGAAGTATACTCGTCCCAGGGAAACAGCGCAGCGGAAGAGAACAACGTGCATGTCGAGGTAGCTGGTCGAAAAGTCGACGCTACGTCACGCTATAAGTCGTTTAACCGTAATAACCAGAAACCAATTTATGAAACCGACGAAACCGTTATTGCAAAAGTTTCGAGTTGCGAGTTTCGGGTTTCGAGCGATTTACGAGAGAGAGTTAAGGGACGTAATTTCGCCGCGTAAAGTGTTCGCGCGAACTTTATCGACTGTGGAAAAGCGGGGAAAGTTGCAAGTTTCTGGGGTAGACTCGGCATGAATCATTCGATATTTTTGCAAGTTTTTAACAGATTTCGACGAGGGAAGTGCCGGGAATCGGGCAACCCTATCGAGGAACGGCGCGTTCTCCTGGGTTCGCGGATCGTTCGTCTACGCGGAGGAAACGAGGATTCGATTGGCCGATGGCCAGTTTCGGTTGGTCCGCACTGCGACCCGCATTTTTCTACAGTCGCGCGCGCGAGTACTCGGAAATCGGATTTCCTGCCGCTTTAGCGAAAAAGACGTACTCGCGCGTCGCGCAGAATGTTTCCAGGAGCACGGGACCGAGAGGGGAAACGAAAAGGTGGACGACCGAAGGTGAGAGCGGTCGTTTAGCGATCGCCCATCACCAGGAAACAACGAGAAGGTACTTTCTCCGTGAGGGACGTGGTTTCGTCCAAGGTGCCGAGGTTCGCTCTCAGGAGGACGTCGGCGATGATCTTCTCGGCGATGATGCTCTGCCGGGGCATCGATTTCCGGAGTTTATTCGCGACGTAACGACCGAACGTGTCGAACTCGTCGTCCGTGACGCAGGCCGCGAACGGCCTCGGCGACGCTTCGCGCGTCGGGTCGTTCGACTGACGGTCCTGGTAGTTCTCTTGCTGCAGCTTCTTTTTGAAAACGTCCACGCCGGACACTGACGACGATATTCTTCTCGCATAGGAGCCTTCGGTCTCGAGGATCACCGGCTGGAAGTTCGGGTCCGGACTAGCTTCGGGCGAGGGCACCGGAGACGGCGGTTCGATCTTGTCCACCTCGGTTTGAACGAACTGCAACACGCGAGGAAAGGAAGATGACGCACCCGAGGGAAACGAAGCTGCCGCATTAGGTGAGCTGCGACGACACCAGCGAGAGAGGAGATCGTTCGTAATCGCGCGCATCGCCTCTCTCGTCTCGCTCCTCCTCTGCTATGCGTCGCATCATGCTACGCCATACCGCGTCATGCCATGCCATGCCACGCCACGTCGCGCGGTGGTCGATTCTCGGGCAAAGTGGGACGAGAATAGAAGCAAATTGCTCGAAAACTTGGCAATTTCTCTTTCGATTACTTTGATTGGTTACGGTTGACGAGAAAAAGCAGCTTTTCCGATAACGCGGATATTCTCGTGCCACTTTTTCGATTAGTCGGCCACCGTGCGTCACGCCGCGCGATTTCTTTCGTCGAAATGGATGCCTCGTTACGATGGGAGGACGCGATTACGCGATTACGCGATTACGCGATTACGCGATTACGCGATTACGCGATTACATCGGAGCTAAAAGCGTGCATCTTTGTTCGGTTTCCGATTCGAGCGAACTCTTCTCCAACGCGTTCGACTCGCGTCCAGGTTTCCGATCGATAAAGGTCTGCGAAGAGAAAGAGAGAGGCGAGGATAGTTGGCTGCGAGATGGAACGGGAGCGAAGGGAGCGAAAGAAAGAGCGAGAGAGGGAGAAGCGAGCCGGGCGGCGGACGGAGAAAGAGAGAAAGAGAGAAAGGGGCACGGCCACATCGAAGACGCATCGTCTCGTCTCGTCTCGTCTCGTCTCATCGAATCTGCAACGCAACGCAACGCAACGCGTCGCGTCGCATCGGATTGGATTGGATCGAATTGCGTCGCATCGCGACCCTTTTCGCGACGAGGGATAAACGGTGCGCGAGATAGGGTCATACCATTGGCTCCTGATAGCCGTCCATTGGGATCGTCGGATTCTTAACGATATCCCTGTCTTCTTCCGCCGAAGATCCCTCGTTCTGCTCGGCAACGAATTTTAATATGTCGTAGTACCATAAGGAGGATCTGTACCGCAGCCGAGGATTTTTAACCATCCTGTGGGAGCTCCGGACCTTTTTGTACTCTCGCCTGAACGCGGTTCTCAAAGTGTTGATCTTTCTAATTACGGTCTCTTTGTCCGCGACCGGATTCACCTCCCTCAGCTTCAGCACGAGGGCGTCGTAAGCGCGGTTTCTCAGCAGCCTGTCTTTGTATCCCTTGTACCTGACCTGCCACAAGCAGGGGAAACTTCGGTACAGTTGAATGAACTCGGTAAGAAAGTCGTGCGTGTATCCGATCAAGTCGGGACTCGCCATTCTGTTTGCTATCCACCGCTCCGTTTTGAAGGTTTTTGGCGGTATCGTGGACACCGAACCGAACCGAACCGAACCGAACCGAACCGAACAACAGAGAACAACAGAGAACAAGAGAGAACAAGAGAGAACAACGGAGAAGAGAGTCGAGTATGGTCTGAATATCGCGATGCGAACAGAGCAGAAACGACCACGCTCGACGACCGACGAGAAGCCACTGCTCCTACTGCAATCGCCGGTCGCGTACACGCGTCGTGCCTTTGAGAATGCTACGCGTTTGCTCAAACCATGTTGCCAGATCTCGGCGACGTCGAACGAGGTTTGTCGGTGCTTGCGCAGCCAACGCCGACGCGATGACTCACCCGCTCCGCGAACCGAACGGAACGCAACTTCCGCCGCGCGCGTCGCGTCGCGCCACGCTACGCGTCGAAAATATTCCGTTCCATAGCGGCGAAGCGAACGCTGTCGGCGAACGATGCCCGCTGCCTGCGCGTTCGAGTTTGTGCAAACTTTCGCGTCGTCCGGCACACGCGCGCGGACGCCAGTTTTCCGAAAGGCGGACGCGCGACGCCTAATCGCGCGTCGGAATCGAGTGGCGCGACGAACGCGTTTTTTCCAGCCGACGGAGCGAACGTGACCGCGCAAACACGTTTCGTTGGTCGGTCGAGTAAACCTAATCGTCGACGCGTCGCGACTCGACTCGCTCGTTTCGCGCCGAAAACATCGGCCCGAACGGGAGAAGAGCTTTCGCTTCGAAATTTCGGAAACGGTCCGAGACGCGGAGAACTCCGTCTCCTTTTCGAGCAGCGATAAACTATCTGTAGCGGGCATCGCGCCACGCCACTCTGCGCGAGAACTCGTCGCCGATATCGACGCTGCTCGTTTCCAAACGTTTCGTCGCGAACCACGATTAGGAGAAGTCGCGGAGAATCTTGCCAACGTGTGCCGACGAGGCGCGATACGACCGAGAACCTCGTCTCTCTCCCCCCCTTTTGTCTCTCTTTATATCTCTCGCTGCCGTTCACCCTTTCTGTTCGGCGAGCTCGGTTTCCGCTAGCTCGTCTCGCGATTCTCCAGTGCCGCGATCGTCAGCCGCGAAATCGGCTCTCCCGTTCGTCGTCCGCTTCGCGGCAACGGTAATCGTACCGTTCCCGATCGAACTCCGAACATTGAATTTCGCGTCTCGAAGCGATCGTTTTTGATAGCCGATGTCGCTCCGCGGTGCGTCGACGTCGAACGCGCGTGGTAGCCGCGGCTCGGGGACGAGGAGAAACGGAAAGGGAAAGCTGCCGCGATATCCCTTCGCGATCAAAGAGAACTCCCCTCGATCGTTCGCGTCTGTTCTCCAGCCCCGTTTTCCATCCGTTCGTCTACGGGAACCGTTTCCGAGCACGTATCCGAGGATTTCTGGTCGCGCGAGCTACCAGAAGACGGAAAGACGGTGGTGTTTACGCTTGCGGGAGTGGACCGTTCAAGGCGGAGAGAAGACGAGCGATGGGGAGAGGAGAGAGAGAGAGAGAGAGAGAGGCGAAGAAAAGAGTAAGAGGACCGACGCTAATCCTCTTTGTATGGAAAAACCGAGTGGTCCGTCGAGCCGACTACGAAGCAGACTTTCGAACAAGCTATTCAGCCTGTGCAATATAGCGTGCAAGTACGGCGCATCCCGTCTAGACGACGCGGCTTTTCTGCGCGAACGAAAAGTTACCTCGTTATATCGGAGACTGCCGTGGAAAGCGCGAGAACCGCAAAGAGGAACGAGAAGAAGGAGAAGCGGAAGGAGAAGGAGAGAGGAACGGTTCTCGGATGATACGCGTTCCGCGCGATCGCTCGACAGCTTTTAATTGGGCGATCGATTGGTCGCTCTGGGAAACGCGTTTCGGCCCGTCGAGGATATCCGGCGTACCCGATAACCCGGTTTAATTGAATCGAAACCGGACCGGCGTTTCTTCGATATCCAATAACCGCGACGCATCGGCGCTCGGGCAACGCGCGGGCCGAAAGGAAACTGGTGCAAACTCCGTTTCCACGATTTTATCTGCCGGCGAGAGGCAAAGCATAATGCTCGGCGCGGAAATATCGCGGAGGTTGCGTTGAATAGGTTGGCGACGCGTTCGCGACGGACAAACGACACACGCGCCTCTCGGGTCCTTTGATCGTGCACGCGCGTCGACGGTTCTATCGGATCAAAACCGGTCTCTCGTCGCGCGTTTCATTGTTGGGACGCGACCGAGT